GCCTTTAATTTTTTCCTTTTTAAAGCTTTGAATTGTTCTGTTTGAAGTTCAAATTCAGGAATAAAACAAGAGTCAAAACTGAAAGTATGTTTCTATATAGCAAATTAATGGACTTAACCAGGAAAAAGCTGTGTTCAGTTCTAAAGCTTGTCACATAAAAGGAATTTTAACCTCTTTGGGGTTTCTTTTTTTTTGGGTTTTCTTTCTTTTTTGACCCCCCCAAAGGCCATTTTTCCAACACTTCAGAACTACAGAATGTGTGTACCTTGATAGTTATGTGTGAAAATTTATAATAGGCACTTTGTGGGGTTGAGTGGAGTCCCATTGAAGCTAACACAGAGCCTGGCCTAGGCCTTAAATACACAATTACAATAATTTAAGCTTCTAAGTCAAAATTCATATAAAGCAAATAAAAATTACTGCTGAGCCTTTGAATTTCAGCCTCCACTCTGTGTGTATTAGTGGAAGGAAAATTACATTTGAAGTGGTCACCATGCAGATGCTGGCCAGGAGATTTGATTTTCTTGTAGAATCTGAGTCTTCTCTCTCCCATCAGCTTAAAGCCAGCATGTGGTTATCACAATCTCACTTTTCAGTCCTGGCCCAAAATCCCCAGGGTGAGCACATCCTTCAACCCACACATGCCCAGGGGGAATCTGTGCTTGTGCTTGAGCAGAGCTTTGACTGTCCCACAGTAAATGTGTCAGAGTGCCCATCTCAAAGTTCTCATGTCCTCAGAGGGCAATGGGAAACAAAAGAGATTTACCAGGTGTGTGCCAAGTGGTGAGGGCTGAGAGGGGGCACAGAGGGTTAAGCATCCTTGTGTTGCAGCTGTTCAGGAATTGAACCCTGCTTGTTTGGCCACAACTTCTCCAAACAGGTCTCAAACAGACCAACAGGCTTTTAATTTGCATTATGGAGGAGGCTCATGGCTTTTGGTGCATTAAACAACCTGCCCAACATCGTGCTGGGAGTGGTCTGCTGTGCCCAATATAAAAGTACAAGTGATTCCATTGAAAACGTTGAAACATCCTTAGGTTTGAGCTCAGTTTGAGGGAAATGGGTCTGATCCACTCTGGCTTTACTGCTCCTTTGTGGTTATGTATTTCCACTAAAATACCTGGAGTTTTAGGCTACTATCTGCTGGTAACCTGAAACATACTGACATTCCTAGTTATTTAATGAATCTTTAATGGAGATTTTAGAGTGTGCAAGGGTTTGCATATTGATTTGTGTATACATATTTAGGTATTAGGGAGAGAAGTAAGGCTGTTGGGAGACTTCTGCAAGATTTAGAGAGAGAAACGTGCTGTTACAGATTATAATAAGGTGTAAAGGTTTTTCACTCCTTAAAATGGAGAAGCTGACATATTAAATTGCATGTGCTCTAGTGATGTGGACTGACTCAGAGAACTTGAAGGAAATAACAGCTGTGCACATCAAAGCTTAAAAATAGAAACTTCATCAGTCAGTAGCAGTTCAGAATGAATGAAGAAATCAAAAAATTATTAATTACAGTGTTCAGAGAAAGGAAAAGACAAAGTTCAAACTTTCTGAAGGCAGAATGCTGTCATCAGAGTTGCAGCACCTGTGCTGGGTAGCAGCACTTTGTCCTGCTGAGCCACTCTGATAAAATGGGGCTCTTGTCCAGGCATGGGCACCTACGGCCATTTCAGACACCCCCAGATTTTCCCACCCAACTGGCATTTATGACATGGGGCATATGGGAGACTCCTGCCCTTCTGGAGTGGCAGCTGGATGCCCTGGGGATTCTCAGATGGCAGTAGATGCTTCAGTCTAAAGAGTAATTGAACATAAACGTAAGTACAGACTCACTTCCGCTCACATTTTTAATGCAGTCACCTGAAATGGTTTCATAGCAGTGTTTGCAATGGGTTATTGTAGAAGGTAATGAACAGTTTATCTAATTTTAAACTTAGTAAGAGTTCTGAGGTGAATAGAGCAGGTGTATAGCTTAAAATCTGACCAGATATAAAATTACATACTATACTAGCGTCAAAAATTTTAGTTAAAAAACATGATTTAAATTTGCAGAGGATGGTTGTTTTCCTAATGACCTCAAATTCATGAATTCATTCTAACATTTTCCTTTTAATATATTCATAGTTAAATATAACTTGAATGTTGTCCTAATTACATTCTCATGTTAATTTAGCTCTGATTCAGATTTTCTATCATTATTCTTTGTAGAATTATTTTGAAATGATGGAAAGTTCAGAAAAGATGCTCCATTCTGTGATTGTGCCTTTGAATTATTTATCAAATTCAAAGACAGAAATATAGCTAAAATCTAGTTTGAGTTGTAAATGAGTTTTGGTAATGTAGGAAGGAAGTGCAGGTCCTTTTTTCAGAGTGCCATGGGTGCAGCATTAGGTACTGCAGGAGCACCGGTGGCCCCAGATGAGCAGAGAGGTTCATGGTTGATAAGAAACTGCAAATGCTATCTAAGCAGATAAGACAGATGAGGTGTGGAAGAGGCAAAGAGAGATACAGAGAACTTGCCAAATGACAGTGCAGATTAGTGACAAAATTAAGAGAAAACCTGTCCTCTCTTGGTCAGAACCAGCCCTCGCTCCCTCTGTGATGTGCCATGGAAACAAAAGCTTTCCCAAGAACTGTTTAACTCTTGTTTTCCAATGCAGTGGCAAACAGTACAGTGCTAACATCAGATTGTAGAAACCATCATTGATGCAGAAAGTTGTGGCTGTGGCCCTGAGCTAGGTAGAGAACAAACAATTGCTGGTGAGGTGTGTGTGAGTCTGAGAGGGCGAGATACTGCTGGGGAAAATCCAAAAGGAGAAAAGGAAACTTGTCTTAATGTAAGCAGTAGTTTTGCTAGAGGTAAGTGAGGGGAAATTCTTCATTTATAAATGGTTCATTGAGCCATGATAATAAAGCAGTGCTGCAGAAGAAGGATAATTATCTACTTAAGTATCAGATGCCCTAAGGGTGGAAGCTTCCCTTCTCTCCTTTTGAAAAATGAACTCAGATTAAACAAATGTCCTTTTTCCTGTTTTAGTGTTGACATGGATTTCCTTTTTATGAGCAAAATTAATTAGTTTTTCTATTCCTTTATTCCTGGTATGGAAATCAGGTCTGCCAATCATCTTTGCAGCTCTCCCCTTGGGCCCCAAATTTAGCCAATAGCATCCTTTATGGATGTGCTTTGCACAATGCACTGGGAAGGCACAAATTAATTACAAGGGGTTTACTATGCCTGGTAATTTACCAAGGGACACAGCATTGCAGAGTTGAAACCCCACAAAACTGGGGGTTTTGTCCCCATCCAGGATTGTTTCGTGTCCAAGTACCTGTTTTCTAAATATATTTTTCTCCTTTCTTAAATGTTAATACCATAAATTGTAACAAGCTAAAAGGAGCATAATGGTGGCATGGCTGATTCTGTACAAAAAAACCCTGAGAGACAGATTTTCAAAGCAGATTAACACCCACAGCTGTGACCAGTTCTTCTCCTGTTCTTTTGGGAGCTGCTACAGGTACAGCTTGCTCAATTCTGCTCCCACTGTAGCAAATATCCATTACTGACTTGTCTGTCCTCATCTGGATTTTGAAAAATGATCAAAACCTGCCACTACATCTTTACTTTGAGAAAATGTCTGGTTTTCTCTCCTATCAGAATGATAAGCGTGATTCTTATAACCTTGGTGTGTGTAAACATGTTGTCTCTGTGCTTATGGAAATAATTGATCTTTCACATGTATTAATCTCTCCTTATTTCAAGTGTCTTATGTGATTCTTGGCAATCAGGTTGATGTAACCTTTTTGTGAACCTGTTAACTGCAGAGCAGCTCCTAGTTACCTTTCCTGGATTATAGAGAATATTCCTGAATACCTGCAGGCTTCAAGATGCAGTAAAAATAAAGATGACTGTAATACAATGGCATGGAACTTAATTTTCTTCAAATTGTCCTTCGAATGCTTGTTTTAATACTGGAAAAAAAATAATTTTTGTAGCCTTTGGTCATGAAAGTTCAAGTGGTGTTAAAGGTTACTTTAAGGTCTTCATTCTGCAAATTCTATTCTGTAAGTCAGCAAAGAATTCTGTCTGCAGGGAATTGAAATGAGAATCAAGTACTTGCTTGTTGGATCTACACAACTGAGCCTCTGCTAAGAATTCTGGACCATATTAATAATGTTACATAATTGACTTTCAAGTGGGGAATCATAGCAATTATTAATTACTGTGAACACAGCAGATGAGATGACTGTGAGCAGTGTCTGTGTACTTCCATTATTTACTTTATAGCTTCATTTCACTGACTCTCAAATCACAGTCACCAAGGTAGAATTAAATCAAAGTACACTTACAGGGTTATGAACACTATGCTTAAAAGGAAATAGTCTTAATTATCTTAATGTATTTCTAAAAACACATTATAGTTACACCAGGTGAGCCTTCCTTGTGAATTGTGATTAATGTGTAGAAATAAGTGATCTGCTATAATCAGCATAGTGCCAGCTTGTCATACTTAGGTGGCTAAAACTAGAAGTGTAAGATCAAGATTTTCAAAAATACATATCACATATGGGGATAAGCATTGTAAAACTGCTGTCTCAGACAACACATTCAAAGCCCTCTTAAATTTCTTTGGCTTTCCCCCATTTTTAATCACAAAAGAAAACAACTCTGACTTTCATGGTAGATAAATATGAGTATTTCTCCATTGAGATGGTAAATTTGAGTTTGTGAAAAATTTGCTTTCCCTTAAATGTCTCATTAGAGCACAAGAGCCTTAGCAATTTTGCCCATATCTGAGGGATTTTGAGGAAAGGAATTCTGAGCAAAGCATCATATAATTCCTTGCAATTATCCCTATGTTTTTGATGTTCTTGCTGTATCACCAGAGAGGAAGAGCTCAGGCGATTCAAGGGTGATCAGAACCAGGTTCCAGGCTGGGGATTGGGACTGTTCTGGACCACTCAGATTTGTGTTTGTGCCTTGACACTGCCACCTTCAGATGTCCTTGTTTGTCCCCTGCGGCCGGTGGAGCGTTTCCGTGACCTGCGTCCCGAGGAAGTGGCCGATTTGTTTCGTACGGCGCAAAGGGTTGGAAATGTGGTGGAGAAACATTTCTGTGGCACCTCGCTCACCTTTTCCATCCAGGTTTGTAAACCAGTCAACTAAAAAAAGGTTTAATGGTTTGTTTTATCAAGCTTTCAGCCTTTTATATAAGGACATTGGAATTTCAAGGGGCAATAAATGCAAAATAACAGTAATAAAAAACAAGCCAAAAAACTGCATTGCAGTCTTCCAGATTTGCCATTGACAAATCTAAAAAGGAAACCAGCGGGAAAGTGTGGTTAATTGATAACTGCAAAACCTTAGATAAAGGCAGCAAACACTCTCAAATGCTGTGCTTGTTTGTGAGCATTTCAGGAAATATTCTTCCTCCAAAGAAGTGTTTGCAGGGTTGACCTCTAGAGAAGGCAGCCACATCCCCTGTTCCACACTGAGATAGGTGATCCCCCCTCACAGCTATTTATATGCAGGCAGAGAGCTGCAGCCATGTAAATACATTATAAATTCTGACCTTTCAGTTATTTGTGCTGGGTGTTTTTATACCAAAAATGAACTCTGTTTAAAGCAAACCAGGAGACTAAGCCCATTCATTAGAATCAGAATTTAAGCAAGCATACTTTGATTAAATTCTTACTTCCACGTGTGATTTTATGTTCACAAGGATCAGAAATGTATTGCTAGCTATTGAAAAATATAATCTGAAAAAACAGAAAATAGAAACTGTTGTTTTTGTGATGTGAGATATTTTCCCATTTTGCTGGGGCCTGATATGGAAAGGAGCTTTGTCCAAAAACTTAGTGTTGAATGGTCCTCAGAAAAAATATGCTAATTTAACAGACAGTGTAATTGATGGAAATGATTATTGAGTAAGGTTTCTGAATTCCTTTGTGATCCTTTTTAGATCCTCTAACCTGAGACTTTTCCCTTTGCTTACAGGATGGCCCTGAAGCTGGACAGACGGTGAAGGTGAGTGCTTATTATGCAGAATACAAATTAAGACACAATTATAAGAACTAATAAAAGATCAAAGCTCATCATCTGCAGTCCATTGCTGCATTGTTACTTTATCTTTGATATCAAAAAATCCCAAGTGTACAATAGCAGTAAATACTTTTTATTGAAATTGCACAAGATAATGTTTACAGGTTTTCTTCCTAGGCAAAAATTTTCAATCAAGAAAATATCTTTTCTAAGCTGCTGGGTGTATTTATGCAAGGAAAGCCTCATGAAAGAGGCATCTGGTTTAGTTTTTTGTTTGTTTTATGGAGAAAATATTGCCCTTCCATTCATGATCTCTTTGTTTTTCTGTTTATTGCCTAATGAGTTGTAGCTAATTATAGGCAGTTAAACTGAACCACATTATGAAAATATACCTTTTGTCTATGCTTTCTCTCAACGTATTCATATCACATTCTTGTTACTGAAGTTCAAATGTAATGGGCCCAGTGAAGCTAAAAACCAGATTTTAAGTGTACTTCCAAAAAAAGAGGTGGGAGGATGGGAGGGAAGAGAGGATTTATGATTATATTCTCCACTTGAGTAATAACACAGATAACATCCGAGATGTCTCTCCAGCCATGTTTCACTGCCTCCTAATGCAAATGCAATTGCATGTGTAGTTAGATGATATGCCTCAACATTAGATAAAGGCTATTTTTTATGTTTGGAATCAGAGGAAAGTCAAATATGGCTATGGGTTAGCACTTTGTAAAATCAAATTAGATGTCTCAGAGAACCTGTTTGAGTTGATTAAGATAACTGTAACAACCAAACGGTGGTGGATAGGAACATTTTACTTTTTTTCCAATTTGCTGTATTGACCTTATTTTTCCTTCTCCCTTTTCCTGCCTGCTTTGAATATTTAACAGAGAAGTAATAGGGAGAGAGAAGAAGAAATTAGAATATCACCAAGCTTAGGATGTGATAAAGGAATATATTGAAATTTATTTCTGAATTGTGACAAAACAGATTCCTTGACTCATGACTTCAAATGTGTTGGGTGGGTTTCACTGGTAGTCTCCGTTGATAGGTGAAATAATAAGTTTAAATACTTTTGAAGTAAATTTTGTTACTATCACCAATAAGATTTACAAAAAAAAATCAGTGGATTTATTTTAATATCTTGGACAAGTTTTTTTCTCTCTGTAAAGAAAAGGTGTATAGGAATGGTTATATGTGAGAAGAATTATTTATATGAATGAACAAAGGCAGATGTAAAAATTCCCATCTTCTGTGATTGAGAACAGTAATAAATGCTTATGTAGGCCTTAAAAAGGCAAGTTCTGTATTGCTTTGTGTTTGTGCTGGAAACAAAGAGCATTAAGTGTTTATTGCAAAATGGCAGCCACCCTTCATGCCTCCTTCTCACACTTTTAATAAACACTGAGATGAAAATGACCCGTTCTTACAACTGTGAACCCCTAGACTTTGCAATAATGAGAGTGTATTCATAAATCAGAGGTTATCAGTTTACATTTCTCTACTTTTCTGCATCATTGGGCAACACTGTAATTTATCATCATCGCTTTGGGATGTTTATCATACAAAAATGCCAACAACTATTTTCTTCAGAGAATTTAGAGCCTTCAAAACTTCAATCAGGAAAGAAATTACCATGATCAAAATCTTCTTTTAAGTGAACAATAGGGTGGATACATAAAAAGCTGGTTTCATTTAGACTGAATCACAAAGTTTGAAAAAACACCTATGTGACCTACAAATAATTTATGAACCTTAAATTCAATGTGTCGTGTTACTGGATGTGGATTTATTTGGGTTTTTTTTTTTCATATATGAGAATCCACAATAATCCAGTCTCCTCTGAGGGAGCTTTTAATTAAAATTTCTGGAACAGACCAAACATTAGAAAAACATTCTAAAAGTAAAAATAGCAAAACATCACAATAAATATCCAAGGGAGTTTGTGGAGACTGTTTAAGTAGGGTAGGCAAGCGTATCTCAGGAGCTAATTAGGTGTAGCTGCTTTTGCTTTAAATGGGGTTACATGGCAGATGGTTTCAAGAATCCTTTCCCTTTGTATTTTGTGTAATTCTGCATATCTGTGTAAATATAGGCAACTGAATGTGCTATGGAGGAACAGAAGTACAGGAAGCAGCAGAAGAGTATTGACTTTTCAATTGCTCAGTGCAAAATTTTACCACAAAATGGGAAGAGCCATCAGCCTAGCTGAAGACAAAAACTGAGAAATTTAGTCTGAAAAACATTAAGGAATTCTCCTTCTTTGTTCACAAGAAGAAATGGTAATCCATGTACAAGAAAAATCTTGAACCTGAATATGAGTCTCAGGTTTTTCTTTGCAATGGAGATGCTGAAAATTAAACGTGAAATATATGCAACAGGTTGGAAGGAGATGACCCTTTCCATGAGATTTTGTCTAGAAATCACTGATAAGATTGTCTGCCGGTGTTACCAGTCCCTTTGGGTGCTGTGAAAGCTGCTGGTGTGTGCATTTTGTGTTAAAGCCTTTCCAGTTACCTACTGGGCAGCTATTCATGACCTAATTGTAGTTTCATTATTGTACTCTGTTCCTCCTTTGCACCTAAGGTAGCACAGCCTGCAGGTCAATGTTCTAGGGAAGCTTATGGCCCTTCCAAATTCCCCCTTTACTGTGTGTTTTTACTGCATGGCTCTTTGGAATTTATTACACCTGGCCCTAAGATCACCAGTATTTGTAAGTATAGATGGGTCTTATAGCAACTGAAAATATACACATGGCAAGGGATTCTGAACCATGTCCTAAGTCTCAGACCATGAAATAATGCAATATATTCATAATATTTTTCATAACATTCCAGCTATTGCACCTATTCCAGCCCTGTCTCTTATTTAAGAGAGAAACAAATGTCCTTCTCCAAAGATGGGCACGGAACTGCACTTTCTTATTGTGAGAGGTTCTTGAGCCACTCACAACAGAGAACTTGAGCATCTCTGGCACCTGAACAGTGTGTCAGCAAGCAAAACCATTTTTAGCATTCAAGAGGTTTTTAATACTTTTTTCTTATTATTTGAGAAATGAAGGAAATTGTGTTTAGGTGCTCCCTTAAAGACTTAATCTCTGCAATTTTGAGCTCTCTTTTTATTGGAGAGCACAAAACCCGTGGTGTCCTTGTGCCAGGAATGGGGGGTGAGTTTTGTGCTGGTTCTGTTTGAGAATGCCTTAAATATCCAGGCAATTTCATGGATCAGGGAAATCAGCTCTGCATCTTAATGCAGGGCTCTTATTGCTATGTCAAGTGAGCGACGTTTCAAGATTTCCCTAGTATGTTTTATAGCCTTCTTTTCATCACCAAGTCAGCAAATGCTCTGGCTGCCTGGGTGGATGTATAGCTTAGTGTAGAATAAGCTCTCAGGTTTACCTTTTACGTGAGATTCAATCACAAGAAACTCCATGGATTCTGTACTCTGTAAAGGCTAAACAAATCAAGCTGGCAGGAGCACGAGGCAACTAATTTATCTGTAGAGACAAGATAATATTGCACAGCAAGTGTCCATTGCAGAACACGTATGAACACATCCTCTATTTTGCAGCAGTGTTGAAGTCTCCAGCAGCTCAGCACCTCCTCTGTTATCCATGAGAAGGGGCCTGTTTGCCAATGACAGGTTCCCCTAAATAAATGAGAAAGCAAAGCTGATGGTGGCAGTGTGGGTATGTGTGCAGAAACTTATTTTATGTGTCACACATTCCACTAGTTATTTTACACTGAGAAGATTGTCTCATGATTATTTTTTGATGCACATATTTTTCTTTTCCAGATGTTTTTTAATGCTGTGTTAAATCAATCCACCTGGCTTGCATTCCTCAGAAATCTTAACCTGAGCTGTGGAGCCCAGGGCTCATTTAAGCCCACAGGAGACTTCTCTTTCATCCTCTTTGTCTATTTATGTCTTGACCCAAAGTACTGGACTTGAGGTTTGAGTCTTTAAATTTAATCAGATCGCATTGCAGACTGATTGCATTGGAAGGATTAAATTCACTAACTGCAATACTTTTGATGCCTCAGCCTTCTTTCCCTGCAGACCAACAGACAGGAGTCCTGGTTTAGTGAAGTGCTAGAAACCCTCTTTTGCTCTCTTAGAAGAACAAAAAAAAAAAACAATGTTTGAGAAATATGAAGATTTTTCTTACCTTTAAACAATTCTAAAAATTTGGATACAAAAAGATGTGTAAGAAACAAATTTTTGAAAACCAGATTGTGCTGAAACATGTGAACAAATCATCTCCTGTGCTTTACCCTTAAGAATGATGATTCTCTTGGAAGCTTGATTCTCTTGGAATCCAAAAATGATTTGAGGAAGTGCAGCAGTGTCTGAATTGCTCTGTGAGCCACACTAATAGTATTTGGTTGGAGACTGTGTAATATTGTGGAGAGGTAATTGTACAGCAAATTCAGTAGTCTCAGGGATTCTGTGTTTTTTTGGAGCTCAAAATTTTCTTTCTATTTCAGTACCATATTTAGCTTGGGCTGGTTTGGGGTCAGTGATGCATATTTTCAAAGCTAGGATTGTACTGCCCCTTACAGAGACAAAAGCAGCAGGATCATCCAGATAGTTTCTGCCCTCTCCCTTAAAGCCTTTGCCAGCTCTATGGTTTCTACTCACTCTAAATAATAATTTCTGCCCTTTCCTTCAGGGCTTTTTTCAAAATCTGCCCTGTGTTGCTCTAAATCTCCTTTTAGTCCTTTGGCCAGACCTGTGTTTTCTATGATGCAAAATAAGTCCTAATAAGTCTTTGCTTTGTCAGGTCCTTGCTTCTGTTCATAACATGTAATATTTAGTTTTTGACTGAACAATAAGCTTTCCAGAAAAAAACATATTACAATTTTGTTTCCCAGGCTTATATATTTAAGAGGTACTGGTAAATCTGTAAATCCTTCCCCAAAACAAATAATCATATACAGGACCTAGAATGAAAACAGTTATTTTGGCCCCCATTATTTGTACAGGTC